TGGTTCTTTTACTCTGGCTATACCACGTTAATAATAATGATGATGATGATTATGATAATAATAAAAACAACAACAATAACAATAATAATAATTATTATTATTATTATTATTATATAGGCCTATTATTTACGTAAAAATACACATAAGTTAATGAAAGCAGTAAATTGGAAGATATAAATATTAAATTTACAAGTCGTATACAAAGATTATAATTACATTATTAAAATAAGACATGTTTAAATATGTAATAATACTACACATAGGCCTAGCCTACATACATACATCAAGTATTCATGATAAATTCAAGGAATCAACTACAACGACTCTAGCAACATCAACAAGAATATTACAAATAGTATTATTAATCAATAAAATAATTTAAATAATAATGATAATATAATGACAAGTACCATAATATTATATAAATAAACGAGATCAATTTCGACAGCATAATTTACTGATTAAAATATTTCATCATAGCTGACACAGTCTCGTCCCCAGTTGTATCTGTCATTTTAGCCTCCGCGGCTTTCCTTGTATATTCACTTGTCTGATATCGTAAATGCTTCTCATCTTTGGCCAGCACATCTTTAATAACATCTGCTACCTCTTCTGCACTTTCCGAAATCTGGCTAGTTTCTTTGAATACATTGTTAAAAAACGTATCGAACTGTTGTTGTGAAACGTCATCAGTTACGTCGTCATCCTCCGTCTTGCCGTTAACGGTATTCAGCGCCATTGCGCTCGCTACGAAGTTAGTAGAAACGAAACCGGGCTCTATCAGACACATACTGTGGGGATACAATAAAAACAACAAAGGTAACTACAAAATAATAATAATAATAATAATAATAATAATAATAATAATAATAATAATAATAATAATAGAAATAATAATAATAATAATAATAATGATAATAATGATAATAATAATAATAATAATAATAATAATAATAATAATAATAATAATAATAATAATAATAATAATAATAATAATGTAGTAATAATAATATAGATGCCAATGATAGTTGTAGGGCATAGGCTATTATATGAGAGGTTATTTTGTTATCGATCATCGATGATAAATCAATCGGCCTCTTAACGTAATATAATATATCACGCGCATGATAAATTTTTGTCAGTGACTGACGGAAAATATCGTCTAATGTAGGCAGCAGAGATGGAAATGCGGTGGACCGACACGGGGCGCAATCACGTTCGTGCAGGTGTGCCGTTCGCACAAGGCCAGTCGATGATCAGTTGAGGGACGATAATTTGCAAAATAAGGTGATTTTTGACAACTTGACCATGATTTTTTTGGGGCGACTGGGGTGTGGGGCGCGAGTAATTTTTGGAGGGGGTGCGTGGGAAACCAAACCGTTCCCGCTACTCCAAACCATTTCCAACTAAAGCCGGGCACTCATTGCGTCGTACAACTCGGCTTCTCTGAGTAGTGAGCGGCCGGCCGCCTTAAAGTTGCATTCACACCGAATCCGAATTTTGGGATCGGAAGGCTTACCGAACTTGATTAGGAAAAATCGAGTCGTTCAGCGCTTTTCGGTTCGAATCTGATGTGAATGCAGCTTAAGACTTAATGGAGGAAGTCAGAAAAATATCAGAACTTACTGAATGTTATGAAGTTTTAGTGCTGGTGCTAAGGATTCGCTGAAGCCTTCAATTGCAAATTTCGAAGCACAGTAAGCGTCATTAAACGGATAACCTGTAAAATATTAAGTATGATCAGAGCGCTTATGTGGCGCACAACCCCAGTAGAAAGTTTCATATGACAACATTTAATAATCATGAACATAAAGCAATACAACAATCTTTTTGACATTTACTCCGGGGTCAGCATGTTCTCTCAGATCATGACTAACTTGTGATTTGCGTAGGCAACTATCAATTGTTTTTTTTTTAGCCTATTGATATAACTTCCATGGTACAACATACAGAATAACTCTCGTATCATCATTTACGATGGTACTGTCATCGTTATCATCTTCTTCATCATCATCAACATCATCATCATCATCATCATCATCATCATCATCATCATCATCATCATCATGATGTGTAGTAGCTTCGTGGTTAGCATGCTTGACACCAATACGTTATGGGCTAAAAAATCTTGTAAATTGCTGGAATGTTTCTCACGACCAAAATAAACTCCCTCTGACCCATAAAAACAATAGAGTGACATCCAGCGCTTTATTGTGATAAGTGAGGTTGAAGATCACTCCCTTTTGGATGAGGACATTTTGAAATAAAGAATGTAAGCCAGAGATATTCAACAGCGCAATTTATGAAAAAGAAACCCAAAGGAATATAC